AAAGGTGGAACCTCTTATGAGGGGTCGCATATGGAAAGGGACTACATAGCATTGCATGACATGGTTTTCTAGTTTTTTTTAAGGAATTTTCCTATTAGAAATTGACCATCCCTAAAGATGTCTTATTGAAGAAGGAAATTTAGTCATTTGTTTTTCAGTTAGTTAATTTTGATGTACTTTTTATTAATGAAAAATATTTTATTTGCGGCTACATTGTAGCAATGGTCCATGAAAAATATACCCCAAGTTGCATTTTTCTTCCTTATTCTTCGAAAGTAGTTGTTATCATCCCTAACTTTTAGTAATATTTTGGTGTAGTTACTAGGAGTGCGTAGAAATTGACGGATCGTAAATCCAATGCACGTTGGTCATGGATTGACGAATTTAAGGGTATGTGAAGGGATCGTCATCCGATTGTAAGGAAACTTGGTTTAATTATCGGCTCTATCTTATGATGTTTTCAATGTGGATTCTAATTATGCTTTTCTTGAGATTTTGTGGTTTAAATATAGGGTTATTCGCAGCAATGGTCCCTCAACTATACCCGTAGTTACACTTTGGTCCACCAATTCAATTATTAGTTGCAGGGGTCACTCAACTAGGTGCTACGTTGCACCAGTAGTCCCTCCGTCAAACTCTGTTAAATTTTCTGTCAAAAATGAGGGTAAATTCGGAACAGCTTTTCTTTTTAGCATATCACCTGCATATCACCTTTTCTTTTTAGCACAGAAACTAAAGAATTCTGCAAGAACAGCTTTTTCATCAAAAACCCACTCGATTGTGAGTCCATTCCCATCCCCTAACTCCATCAATTGCTGGGTTGCAACTTCAGCCAACGTATCCAAGGAAGAAGAAGAAGATGATGATGATGAAAAAACCCTTTTGTTTTGCTTGACCATGGCCTTCTAAGGAATCAAACACCCATCAAATCCATATCCACGAAGTGGGTTGCAGTAGCAATTTCTCATAGCCATGGCCATGGCCTTCTTAACATCATCTTTCTTCCAATTTTTGATGATAACAAAAACCTCAGAGAGAAGATTCAACGAATTTGAATCATGCCCAAATTGAAAATCACCCTTCATTCCCATAACCAAAATGCAAAAACAGAACTTTCACCTAAAAGATTAAGAACACAGAAATAAACCCAACTCGATCTGTGCAGTAAAAGCCTTCGGCACTTCCAGACCCAATTCTCACTCTCTCGACGACTCTCGCTTCGCACCAAAACAAACGCTCGCAAGCCAAGGTAGCGTTTCACCACTTCTCGTCCGTTTGCTACGAATAACCCTTAAATATATGTATAGCGTGGAGTGAACTATGGTTTTCAAACCACATTACAAGTACACTCCCCTAGTTATAGTTACAGTGGGTTACATTTAGGTTTTTTGACGCATCAGGGCGTACATATTCGTTTTGGGTGGTTTGCGAGGATGCCTATACTTTTGGGGCTGTCTATGCTCCTATGACCAACTAGTTCACACAATATATCCTCCCAGCTTATGTGGATGGACAACTTATTCTCCCTCCCCAAACCCCACAACCTGCTCGTGCATCAAGTTTACAATGTCCTTGTATGGCTATTGAGCTTATTTCCTAGGTACAAGTAAGGTATATATTTTAAGTATGTTACGAGATTGTTATTGCTAACTTTGTGACTTTATTTCAGTTGAGAGGATTGATGTATATTTGGGTTTGAGTTACATCAAACTACAGTTTCACAGCTTGAGTTGAGGAGTTTATATATCATGTTTAAAGTCTTGTTATCTTGACATTATGAACAGTCTAGTGGGCTTTCAAATGATTTGGTTACTTTGTATTTTATATAAAGATTCTCTAAAAGCATTGATAAGTAGTTGCGAACACTGGGGTTTAGTATGTTCGAAGTAGTTACTTTTGAACTTATTATTCTTGTCTTCTCACTAAGGTTTATCTCACATTTTCTTTGTTTTGCCCTCCTAGGTAGTAGAAAGAGGAGGTCGAGCTCGCCACGTTGAGGCAACTTCCCTGCTCAATTTGCACTAATTCATTGTAGGATTCTTATTTTAGATAACTATAAAGAAAACCATTTCTAGCCATAAAATTATAGAAATACCCTACATGAAATTGACTTCATAAACACACCCTACCTTACATTAAACAGACTTTATAAACACACCCTTACATTAAACAATAATGCTATAATTATAATACAATAACAGTGTAACAGAAATACTCCTTGAATAGCCATAACTATGATTGAATGTCATGATTGTGGTGGTAACTCCCTAACACAATGTTTTGTCAAGAAATGCATTGGATGAGGATAAGAAAGTCCACTATAATTACATTGCATTCGGCCAACAGATGACTTGATGCAAATATAGAAAGGAGTTGTTTTCTTTGTATAAGTGGTAGCCTCCAATGACCAAGAGAGTGGAATAGCTTGGATTGAAAATACAAGAACATGTTTCCATTGGAATTAAACGATAATGACCTTTGGTGATTCAAAAGATTCTGATTTCTGATTAGTAACAAATCATATACTTCTCAAGTTTCAGGTGAACATGAATCCTCCCAAGATGGCTCCGTTTCCCAGGACCTTCTCTCCTTACCTTTCTCTTTTTTTCTTTTTTCTTTTTTATGACACAGGGGGGTAAACACCCAAACAAAACCTACACTACACGAACTAAACGGGGCTTAGAGACTTTAATCATATCATCAACCAAAGTTGCTCCAACCTAAAGAGGCATTGAGTCAAACCAACACACGCCTATGTCCAAATTATAGCTTCCATTAGCAAGACAATCTGCCAAGCAATTCCTCCCCCGACAGACACGTTGAAGATCACAAACATTGATCAATTTCATAAAATCCCAGCAACTAGATAACAAAGGCATTTAGTCAAACCAACACACGCCTATGTCCAGATTATAGCTTCCATTAGCAAGACAATCTACCAAGCAATTCCTCCCCCGGTAGACACGTTGAAGATCACAAACATTGATCAATTTCATAAAATCCCAGCAACTAGATAACAAACCAGCAAGGGGATGAACGCCAACAGTATCAGGATTTTTCATGAGATTCATAACAGGGTTGAATCCATTTTAATGACAAGATTAGAGATCCCTCGAGCCACTGCAAGCTGCAATCCAAAAAACAACCCCCATAATTAGCTTCCAAAATCTATCCTATCCCCAAGTGTGTCACGGATTACACACCTAGCACCAATAGCCCCAGAACAAGTCTTACAAGTACCATCCACATTTAATTTAAAAGCTACAATCCAATGAGGCAGTTAGGATTGACACAATTGACAGAACGAAGCCACTCCTTCACAGCAACTTGAATAATCTTCTATGGACAATTAGGCTACTCCTCAAGCTCAACAAAAATCTGATGGTTCCTCCACTTCTAGATAAACTAGAAAGTAAAAATAAAGATAGTGCACCAAGGAATTCCTTCCCCCCAAGTTGCCTTAGAACATAGATTACCTATGAGCCAAGACTTGACAGCAGCATTAGAAAGAGCATGATCTTTAAACTTAATGATCTTTTGTACAATTCCCTTAGTCACAACACCCCTCAATTTATCAATATCCCACCATCTGTTTTAAAAAAAGCTATCCACTGTACAATACTGCTCAACTACATTGAGCACTCCTTCTTGGTGCAGCAAGGGACCCTCATGGAGCCAGTGATCCTTCCAAAACAGAACAATATCACCCCTGCCAAGTCTCCAACTCATACCTTGTCCAAGAAGTTGGGCACCATATATAATACCCTTCCAGGTAGAAGAACCATCCTCCTTAGACTGTGAGGAAGGATTAAGAATGAATTGGCCTTTTAAATACTTATCCTCAAACATCTTGGCACATAATCCTCAAACATCTTGGCCTTTTAAATACTTAGCCTCACCTTTCTCTTTCTTTCTCCCTTTCCCTCATCCAATTTCCATTTCACCGCTTCCTGCTCCAATCCTTTTCTTTCTCTTTTCAACTTTCTCAACCAATTTCTGACGCTTATCTGCTCCCATCTTCTTCTCATCTTCCATATGAATTCTTGTTTATGAATTGTCCAAGTATTTAGAACCTTGGTTTTTATGTAAAATTTGAAAGCATGTTGTTCTTGATAATGTAGGATAATTTTTTTTTTTGGGAGAACTCTTGATAATGTAGTTAAAGATGTAGAAGTATTTAACAAGTTAAATACAATTTGGGAGATATCATTAAAAACTAGGGGTGAGCATTTTAACCGAAAACCCAACCGAACCGGACCGCCTAAGGTGGTTTGGTTCGGTTTTTACATTGAAAAATTGAAGAACCGGTAAAAAAACCGCCCGAACTGGCCAAGAATCGGGTTGGATCGATTTTAATTGGCTGCAAACCGGCGAAAATCGGACCGGACCGAGTAATATAATTATATTATTAAAAAAATAATTAATACACTTGTCAAGTGATGATTCGTCGAGGGAAAATCATTTCCTACTCTATGTTACACCGGATATAGCGAAACCCTAAAAGCTAAAACATTGAATCGATTTTTTTTTTCTCCATTTCGCCTCTTCTCCTCTCAGACTCTCTCTCGTCGCTGCCTCTCTCAATCCCTCTCGACTCTGCCTCTCTCAATCCTCAATCACTCTCGGCTCTGCCTCTCTCAATCACTCTCGGCTCTGTCTTCTCTTCCTTCTCACCCGCTTTCTCTCTCTCTCTCTCTCTCTCTCTCTCTCTCTCTCTCTCTCAGACGATTTTTCTCACCCGATCTCAGTCACTCTCTCTCTCACCCTCAGCCAGTTTCGCTCTCTCTCTCTCTCTCTCTCAGACGATTTTTCTCACCCGATCTCAGTCACTCTCTCTCTCACCCTCAGCCAGTTTCGCTCGCTCTCTCTCTCTCTCTCAGCCATTCTCGCTCTCTGTCAGCTGCTCTCTCTCTCTCAGTTTGAGGTATTAATATGTGTAAACCCTAATTAAAAATGTTAGGGATTTGACAATTTTTGTTAATTCAATTTATCTAATCTGACTCTGTTGTGATTTTTGGTGGACAGAATTGATTTTGGGATCATAAGAAACGATTGGCTTGCTCTAGGTAATTTCTCTAATCTGACTTTGTTGTTGTTTGATTTATTTATGGTGTTGTTGTAATTTATGGTAATATCTAGGATCATAGAATTGATTTTGGGACAGAAGTGATTGAACAATGCTGTTTGATTTATTTGTGTTTTTTAGTAGTTTTATTTGTTATTTTTTGTGGTAGTTTTATTTATTATTTATGATTTCATTTTGGATTTTGAAAATTTGCATCATTCAATAATGTGATTTGGCAGATATGGAGTAATAATTTAAGTTCTATGATTATTGTAATGTCACACTAAATTTGGCAGCAATTCACATAGGCTAAAGGCATAAATAAGAGGTTAGAAAAGTGGAATTATTGAATAATGTGATATTTGTATTTTGGTTGCTTATTCACATTGGCAGATATGCAATATTGATTACATGCTTATTGTTTTTGGTTATTGAAGCACCAAATATTTGTATTTTTGTAGGGTATTATTAATTTAATGGAAGCAGAATCTGAAACCCCTGTTTCAACTAACCCACCACCACCATTAGCCCTTCCACCATTAGCCCCTTCACAATCAGCCCCTCCACAATCAGACCCACCACAATCAACCCCTAGAACTTTAGGAAAAAGAAAGCCTTGTAAGAATGCTTCAGGGGTTTGGGATCATTTCACAAAGATAAAGTGTGAGGATGAAACTAGTGAGTCTAGACGCATATGCAAGTATTGTAAAAAGGACTATGCATGTGATGGTAAAAGGAATGGTACATCCACTTTGTGGCACCATTTGAGAAGTCAATGTAAGAATTCTCCATTGAGACATGAGAAAAGACAAAAAGTCCTTTCATTTGAGGGGCAAGCGAAAGGGGGTAACCTAGTAGCACAAGCATTTAGTAAAGAGAGATGTAGAATTGCATGTGTCAAGATGATTATTCGGGATGAGCTTCCGTTTAGTCATGTGGAGGGTATTGGGTTTCGTGAATTTTTGAAGGAGGCACAACCTAGATTTGATTTGCCAACTTGTACAACAATTGCTAGAGATGTGTGGGATCTCTATCAAGAGGAGAAAGCTAAAATCAAGAGTGTCTTAACACATAATGCACAAAGTGTCTCTCTTACCACCGACACTTGGACGTCCATTCAAAATATCAATTACATGGTTCTCACGGCCCACTTCGTTGATGATGATTGGGTCTTGCATAAGAGAATCCTTAATTTTTGTGTCATTCCTAATCATAAGGGGGATACAATTGGTAGGCTTGTGGAGGCATCTTTGAATGGATGGGGGATAGACAAAGTTTTCACCATATCGGTTGATAATGCTTCCTCCAATGATGGATGTATTAGCTACATGAAGAAGAGGTCAGAAAAGTGGAATTCACTCATAGGTGATGGTAGTTTGTTGCATGTGAGGTGTTGTGCACATATTACAAACTTGATTGTAACTGATGGAATGAAAGAAATTCATCAATCTATAGAGAGTATTCGCAATTGTGCTAAGTACATTAGGGGGTCATCCCAACGGTTAGAGAAGTTTAGGGCTTGTTTGGAGATGGAGAAGGTTGATACTAGGACGATGGTTCCTTTAGATGTGTGCACAAGATGGAATTCAACTTACATGATGTTGGAGAGTGCTTTGAAGCTCCAAAAAGGTTTTGAGAGGATGGAGGAGGATGACCCAAACTTTTTGGGGTACTTTGAGGAGTATGAAGCTCATGGTAAGGAAAAGAAGAAAAGAGTGGGGCCTCCAACTTTGTTGGATTGGGATAATACGAAGGTATTTGTCAAATTTTTGAAGAAGTTTTATGATGCTACTTCGAAGTTTAGTTTGAGGTTTAGTGCATCAAAAACGTTTTATGATGCTACTTTGAGGTTTAGTGCATCAAAAACCGTGTCTTCTAATGCCCCACTCCATGAGATATGTTCTTTTTTGGAGGAGATAGACACAATGATGAATGTTGATGATGTTGTTATGTGCAAAATAGCAACAATGATGAAGAGAAAGTTTGATAAATATTGGGGAAATGTGAATAACATCAACAAGTTATTCTTTCCTCGATACAAGATGGAATATGTGGAATTTTGCTTGGGTGACTTGATGTCCGATGAAAATGGGGTTAATGACATGTCATTGGAGATCAAGACACTTTTACACCATTTGTATGATTACTATAGAAAGCAAAATCCAGCTGCTGCCCAAGTGTTTCATGGTAATGTAGAGAGTGAAGGATCATTGCATGTGAACAATGATGTTACTAAATCATCAAGGATACAAAAGTTCTTGAAGTCAAAGAGAGATAAGGATGTTGGTGAGATAAGAAATGAGATTGATAAATACCTATTGGAACCTCCCGTGAATCTTACCAATGATGAGTTCAAATTGCTTGATTGGTGGAAGGAGAATGCTACAAAATTTCCAATACTTTCCAATGTTGCAAAAGATGTATTTGCTGTCCAAGCATCAATTGTGGCTTCAGAATGTTCTTTTAGCACGGGAAAGAGAGTTGTAGATCCCTTTAGGAGTTCATTAACTCCAAAAACCGTGGAGGCATTGATTTGTTGTAGTGATTGGTTAATGGCGGAGGAGTTTAGCTACTACAAAGAACCCACATTGGAGGAGTTAGATTTCTACCAAGCTTTGGAAAAAGTGGAAAAAAGTTTTCTTTCTTTTCTACATTAATTATAATTTGTAGTTTCTTTGTGTTATTAATGCATATGTTTACTAACTGTTTTTCTTTCTTTGTGCAGAGGTGCAAATCTGATTTGAATATGAAACAACTCATGGAATTGTATGTGTATATGTAATGGAAATTTATTTGATTTTATTTGGATTTTATTTTGAACTTTGCAAATATGCAAATTGTGATTGAGATTACTCTCACAATTTGCTATGGACTGTAATAATAATTTCTGTATTTGGAGATGTGTGGTGGATGATGATTTGCTATGGTTTTAAGGTTTTTTTAAAGTATTTGAATGATGAAAACTTCAGATATGCAGATTTGTCAAAACTGGAAAAACTATACAAGAACTGTCAAAACTTGAATTGTTGAAATCTGACCAAAAAAACAGAATGGACTTGGAAAACTTAGAAAAAAAAAAGCCTTCAATTGTTGCCTTTGTTGGGCCTCGGCAAATACCCGAACCGAACCAACCCGGCCCGATCAATTCGGGTTTCGACTTAAGTCGAAAATGGGCCTAAAAAAGAGGTCCACGATTTAGCATTTGGGCCTGCCGATAAGACCCGATTCGGCGTGCGGTTTGGGCCCATAACCGACCCAACTCGACCCGTGCACAGCCCTATAAAAAACAAAGTAGACCTGCCGAAATTTCAAAGGAAAATTTTCAATTCGAAAAATTGACTAACATCAAAGATTCTGATCAAATTTTGGTCCAGCGTCAACTTTTTTAAACCATACCATTTTGGGATGACCAGAGAAAAGAAAAAAAAAATTAATACGAAAAAAAAGAGAAAGAATCAAATGACGTGTAATCTTAGGAAGCTCTTGATATGTGACGTGTAGTCTTAGTCTGGCTCCAACCCTCGAGAACAAGCCAGACCGACTCAGGGTCAGTTAAGATTGACAGAGAGAGAGAGTGAGAGAGAGAGAAACAGGGAACACAGAGAGTTGTTTGAATAAAATGGCGCTTGAGAAGGGAAGGTACTGTGTAACAGGGGCTGGCGGGTTCGTTGCGTCGTGGGTCGTTAAGCTTCTGCTTTCCAAGGATTGCACTGTCCACGGCACCGTTAGAGACCCCAGTAATTATATACAAACTCCACTAACGTTCCTTTCTTGCTCTTTCTTTCTTTCTTTCTTGCTGGCTTTAGCTAAGAAATTATGTTCAAGTTTATTGTTTACTGTATAATTATGTGATTGTTACTCAAGTCTCTACTGTTCCATCATCATATAATAAATCTGTTAAGCTAGATCTCGTTTATGCAGATTAAATATTAGGAAATTTGGGCTGCCATCTTTGTTCAACCCAACTTTGTGCTTCAAAGCTGATGCCTTTGCATTTTGTGTCATCTCATATCAATAAATTGGTGTTCTTTTCATTATCTGATGCTTACTTAAACAAAAACAAAGTGGTGATTTTGTTATCAGTTTCAAGTTCCAATGGGTTGGCTGCATTTTTCTTTTCATTATCTGATGCTTACTTAAACAAAAACAAAGAGGTGATTTTGTTATCAGTTTCAAGTTCCAATGGGTTGGCTGCATTTTTCTTTTCATTATCTGATGCTTACATAAGCTTAATAATGCAAACATCAATAAATTTCTTGATTCAGCAAGCATTGTTTTCCACTAGCTAGCAAAGAATGTTGGAAATTGCTCTACTAATGTGGAATTAGTGACATTACTGTATTGTGCATGCAGGCAATGACAAGTACGCCCACTTGAAAAAACTTGACAAGGCATCTGAGAACCTTAAACTATTCAAAGCCGACTTATTGGACTATGAATCCCTTCGTGCAGGGATTCTAGGATGCGGCGGAGTGTTTCATGTTGCTAGTCCAGTCCCCTCCACCACTGTGCCAAATCCTGAGGCAATAATCTCTCTAATTCGTCCCCTTCATACTCGATCTCACTTGCAATAGATTAATTACTACACTCGGTTTCTATGGTTGCTAAGTTAAATCATTTAGTGAGTCTCATATAAGTGGTTCTAAGTTATTTCATTGATTAGGGCACTGGAAAGGTGCCAAACTATTTATAACCATTGCTATTTCATTGCCATTGCTCACTTGTATAGTATACGTTCATACTTCATACTCAAATAATTTGAATGTGCTAAGATATGCTTACCAAATTAATGCTTATATTCTCCTGCATCTTGTTGTACTATTTTTCCAGGTAGAAGTTATTGAACCTGCCGTGAAGGGAACACTTAATGTACTTAAAGCATGCCTTGAAGCAAAAGTCAAACGAGTTGTTTTTGTGTCCTCTGTTTCTGCTGTGATCATGAATCCTAGGTGGTCTGAAGGTCAATTGTTGGATGAAACTTGTTGGTCGGATAAGGAATACTGCAGAAAAACTGAGGTATTCAATTAATGTATGTATTTAGGGAATTTTTATTAGCACTCCAAAATCGTCATCCTACACTCGAAATCTGTGATCTTTTTCATTAGGGACGAGTGCATGATGACTACCTAGGAGTCCCACTCATGGTCTTGGTGATCAACGCGACTTGCTGTAGAACCAACAAATAGGGACACATATACACAACTTTCCTTTAGGGTCATGCTAGGATTTGTTGATTCTTCACCAAGGATTCCAAGAGCAAATGCCAATAAAATAGGAATAAAAGAAAGGAAACTCTATTCTTTAGTCAATAATAATGAAGGACTGTTTTCGATAGACTATAAGTGTCTAGAGTTCTCATCTGTGGAGCTAGAAATCCTAAAGCAATATCATTAATCCCCACTAAAACAGGAAATTAAAAATAAAGGAATTTACCAAAAACAGGAGGTTTTGAGATTGACCACCAAAATTCTAAAACTACATATGTTTTAGAATCATGCTTTTTATTAGGCCTACGAGATGCAATGCTGTTGAAAAATTATCTTGAGCAATTCTGCAACTTTAGCTCATAGTTTCATCCAGTACCTTTTCACTATCATAGAAATTTGGAATGAAGCAAATCCATTCGTGTGATCTTATCATCTAGCTATGCAGACTCTTAAAGTTATTCTAGTGTGATTATATCATTTTCTTATGTGTTACCAGTTTAACATTTATGAGGCATTGTCTGTGCACTCTAATGCAAGTGATTTGCATTTGTATGTTGACTGTCTAGTTCTTTGTTTAATTTTCCAGAATTGGTATAGTCTTTCAAAAACTTTAGCAGAATGGGAGGCTCTGGAGTTTGCAAGAAGAAATGGGCTTGACTTGGTAACTATTTGTCCTACACTTATTTTGGGGCCAATTCTGCAGTCCACTGTAAATGCAAGTACCCTGGTCCTCATCAAGCTTTTGAAAGGTACTTACTTTTGACACAACCACATGGCGCATAACTAATTCTATTGCTTTAGAATCTACAAATGTACAGATAGGTAGTTCGAGTAGTAAACGCATCCTTCAGTAATTGTCTAGGCTAGTTTATATGTATTTGGCTCCATTTCAGTTTTTATGAAACAGAATCCAGGTTTATCCCCCATTCGTTATCTTTGGTATCTTTATTAACCGGGTTTAGCAATGTATCCATGCAGAAGGGTATGAGTCATTGGAAAACAAGGTCCGAATGATAGTTGATGTGCGGGATGTAGCTCAAGCAGTCCTTCTAGCGTATGAGAAGCCCGAGGCTGAAGGAAGATACATATGCACAGCCCGCCATATCAAGGCAAGAGATCTCGTGGAGGAGCTGAGGAGCATTTATCCTGGCTACAATTATCCTAAGAAGTAAAGTTTCCCTTTGATTTTTGAGGGACTTTTCAAATTCTAAATGTTACTTTCTTGATCATCATGGTCATGCAATCCAAAAGTAGAACTGACTGTGATTCTTGTTGTTATGATTTTGTTTTAAAACTAATTTGTTATGCACATGTATGTTTTGGCAGCTTTATTGAAGTAGAAGAACAGCAGCGGTTGAGCTATGAGAAACTGCAGAGGCTGGGTTGGAGTGTCCGGCCATTGAAGGAGACGCTCATTGACTCTGTTGAAAGCTACAAAAAGGCTGGAATCTTAGATTGAAAAGATACTACATGCTCTGAACCCATCTTACAAAGAGGAAAGTTTGGCTTGCTGCAATTAGCTTGGAGTCCACCCTATTATATATGTTACGTTTCTGTCTTGCTTCCTCTTCCCTTTAATACACAAGCCTTTGGACCGTGGAGAAGGCTTTATCTTTTCTCCCACGTTCTCCCCTTAATTACCTGACATTGACAACAGGTTGGGCAGACCAAAGGCTAGACATTAATGGCTGCATGTTCAGCCACCCTATATAGAACCATAGAGTAGGTACTCCCTGAAACAAGTCAACAATTGTCCTTAAATGCTCTCTTAGTTTTCCAGCAGCTTGCCACCCTTCATTTATTGTATCTTTATGTGAGCCAACTTTTCCAACACCATCTTCTTCTCATCTTCCATATGAATTCTTGTTTATGAATTGTCCAAGATATTTAGAACCTTGGTTTTTATGTAAAATTTGAAAGTATGTTGTTCTTGATAATGTAGGATTTTTTTTTTTTTTGGAGAACTCTTTATAATGTAGTTAAAGATGTAGAAGTATTTAACAAGTTAAATACAATTTGGGAGATATCATAAGAAACAAAGTAGACCTGCCGAAATTTCAAAGGAAAATTTTCAATTCGAAAAATTGACTACGATCAAAGATTCTGATCAAATTTTGGTCCAGTGTCAACTTTTTTAAACCATACCATTTTGGGATGACCAGAGAAAAGAAAAAAAAACTAATACGAAAAAAAGAGAATGAAACAAATGACGTGTAATCTTAGGAAGCCCTTGATATCTGCGTGTAATGTCTGGCTCCAAGCCCGCGAGAAGAAGCCAGACCGACTCAGGGTCAATTAAGAGAGAGAGAGAGAGGGAACAGAGAGAGTTGTTTGAATAAAAATGACGGTTGAGAAGGGAAGGTACTGTGTAACAGGGGCTGGCGGGTTCGTTGCGTCGTGGGTCGTTAAGCTTCTGCTTTCCCAGGATTGCACTGTCCACGGCACCGTTAGAGACCCCAGTAATTATATACAAATTCCACTAACGTTCCTTCCCTGCTCTTTCTTTCTTTCTTTCTTGCTTTAGCTAAGAAATTATGTTCAAGTTTATTGTTTACTGTATAATTATGTGATTGTTACTCAAGTCTCTACTGTTCCATCATCATATAATAAATCTGTTAAGCTAGATCTCGTTTATGCAGATTAAATATTAGGCAAATTTGGGCTGCCATCTTTGGTCAACCCAACTTTGTGCTTAAAAGCTGATGCCTTTGCATTTTGTGTCATCTCATATCAATAAATTGGTGTTCTTTTCATTATCTGATGCTTACTTAAACAAAAACAAAATGGTGATTTTGTTATCAGTTTCAAGTTCCAATGGGTTGGCTGCATTTTTCTTTTCATTATCTGATGCTTACATAAGCTTAATAATGCAAACATCAATAAATTTCTTGATTCAGCAAGCATTGTTCTCCACTAGCTAGTAAAGAATGTTGGAAATTGCTCTACTAATGTGGAATTAGTGACATTACTGTATTGTGCATGCAGGCAATGACAAGTACGCCCACTTGAAAAAACTTGACAAGGCATCTGAGAACCTTAAACTATTCAAAGCCGACTTGTTGGACTATGAGTCCCTTTGTGCAGCGATTCTAGGATGCGACGGAGTGTTTCATGTTGCTAGTCCAGTCCCCTCCACCACTGTGCCAAATCCTGAGGCAATAATCTCTCCAATTCATCCCCTTCATGCTCGATCTCACTTGCAATAGATTAATTACTACACTCAGTTTCTATGGTTGCTAAGTTAAATCATTTAGTGAGTCTCATATAAGTGGTTCTAAGTTATGTCATTGATTAGGGCACTGAAGGGGTGCCAAACTATTTACAACCATTTCTATCTTCATTGCCGTTGCTCACTTGTATAGTATACGTTCATGCTTCATACTCAAATAATTTGAATGTGCTAAGATATGCATACCAAATTAATGCTTATATTCTCCTGCATCTTGTTGTACTATTTTTCCAGGTAGAAGTTGTTGAACCTGCCGTGAAGGGAACACTTAATGTACTTAAAGCATGCCTTGAAGCAAAAGTCAAACGGGTTGTTTTTGTGTCCTCTGTTGTTGCTGTGATCATGAATCCTAGGTGGTCTGAAGGTCAATTGTTGGATGAAACTTGTTGGTCGGATAAGGAATACTGCAGAAAAACTGAGGTATTCAATTAATGTATGTATTTAGGGAATTTTTATTAGCATTCCAAAATCGTCATCCTACACTCGAAAATCTGTGATCTTTTTCATTAGGGACGAGTGCATGATGACTACCTAGGAGTCCCATAGCAGCTCCCTATAATTGTATAATGAACTCATGGTCTTGGTGATCAACGCGACTTGCAGTAGAACCAACAAACAGGGACACATATACACAACTTTCCTCTAGGGTCATGCTAGGATTTGTTGATTCTTCACCAAGGATTCCAAGAGCAAATGCCAATAAAATAGGAATAAAAGAAAGGAAACTCTATTCTTTAGTCAATAATAATGAAGGACTGTTGTCGATAGACTATAAGTGTCTTGAGTTCTCATCTGTAGAGTTAGAAATCCTAAAGCAATATCATTAATCCCCACTAAAACAGGAAAATAAAAATAAAGGAATTTACCAAAAAAACAGGAGGTTTTGAGAATGACCACCAAAATTCTAAAACTGCATATGTTTTAGAATCATGACAAACTATTGTTTAAATTGAAATCCAAATTTGGACTAAAATTTATTAGAAAAACACAACTTCATAAAATGGTCAAATCATGCTTTTTATTAGGCCTATGAGATGCAATGCTGTTGAAAAATTATCTTGAGCAGTTCTGCAACTTTAGCTCATAGTCTCATCCAGAACCTTTTCACTATCGTAGAAATTTAGAATGAAGCAAATCCATTGGTGTGATCTTGTCGTCTAGCTATGCAAACTCTTAAAGTTATTCTAGTGTGATTATATCACTTTCTTATGTGTTACCAGTTTAACAATTATGAAGCATTGTCTGTGCACTCTAATGCAAGTGATTTGCATTTGTATGTTGACTGTCTAGTTCTTTGTTTAATTTTCCAGAATTGGTATAGTCTTTCAAAAACTTTAGCAGAATGGGAGGCTCTGGAGTTTGCAAGAAGAAATGGGCTTGACTTGGTAACTATTTGTCCTACACTTATTTTGGGGCCAATTCTGCAGTCCACTGTAAATACAAGTACCTTGGTCCTCATCGAGCTTTTGAAAGGTACTTACTTTTGACATAACCACATGGAGCATAACTAATTCTATTGCTTTAGAATCTACAAATGTATAGATAGGTAGTTGGTGTAGTAAACGCATCCTTCAGTAATTGTCTAGGCTAGTGTATATGTATTTGGCTCCATTTCAGTTTTTATGAAACAGAATCCAGGTTTATCCCCCGTTCATTATCTCTGGTGTCTATATTAACTGAGTTTAGCAATGTATCCATGCAGAAGGGTTGGAAAACAAGGTCCGAATGATAGTTGATGTGCGGGATGTAGCTCAAGCAGTCCTTCTGGCGTATGAGAAGCCTGAGGCTGAAGGAAGATACATGTGCACCGCCCACTATATCAAGTCAAGAGATCTCGTTGAGGAGCTGAGGAGCATTTATCCTGACTACAATTATCCTAAGAAGTAAAGTTTCCCTTTGATTCTTGAGGGACTTTTCAAATTCTGTATGTTACTTTCTTGATCATCATGGTCATGCAATCCAAAAGTAGAACTGACTGACTGTGATTTCTGTTGTTACGATTTTCTTTTAAACTAATTTGTTATGCACATGTATGTTTTGGCAGCTTTATTGAAGTAGAAGAACAGCAGCGGTTGAGTAATGAGAAACTGCAGAGGCTGGGTTGGAGTGTCCGGCCATTGAAGGAGACGCTCATTGACTCTGTTGAAAGCTACAAAAAGGCTGGAATCTTAGATTGAAAAGATACTACATGCCCTGAACCCATCTTACAAAGAGGAAAGTTTGGCTTGTTGCAATTAGCTTGGAGTCCACCCTATTATATATGTTACGTTTCTGTCTTTAGCTAATGATAGTTATTCTTATACTTCATATCTTTTATGTTATCTTTTCTATTTGTTGGGAGAGTATAGTGCTTTGGCTTTAGCCTTTATGTTGCTATTCTTTGACTTGTTCGAGTTTTAGTTACCAATTAGATAAGGTGTTTATGTTGCTATTCTTATTTAGTGAAATTTGTTGTTGATTAGGTTTCAATAATGAATGATGATACGGCACAATTATTTGGACTCTTTCAATTAGAATCTTCTAATAATGGATGACAAAGAAAGCTCAGCTAGCTTCAACCGCATACCGAGTCCTATGGTTTTGTGGATTAATTAAGAATAGGGACAATAAAATTCTCTCGGCAAAAACGAAAAACAAAAAACAAAAAATAAACAAAAAATTAATATTCTGTCGTCAGATTTATTTATATTCTCATATTGTAAATTCATATTATTTCCAGTGCTAATTTTGTCTATATTTGTATGGTGTACATTCTTGCATGAATATTTATAAAATTAATTTAAAAAACCAGTGTGCGAAGTAAACAAGGCAACAAAGTCGCGATGCACTCTTGGGCCCTGTGTCATAAAAATAAAAAACAAAGTCGCAATGCGAGAAATGCATTAACTAAGGTCGTTGAAATTCAGACAAAAAAAAGAGCATAACTAATTATATATAGATAGGCATAGACAGGTAGATAGAATGAAGGGAAACAACAAGTCATAGCAGCAGCTAATAATACATAGACATACATAGATTATAGATGGCGGGTGAGAAAGAAAAAGTATGCGTGACTGGGGCTGGAGGATTTGCAGCCTCTTGGGTCGTTAACCTTCTTCTTTCAAAGGACTATGTTGTTCATGGAACAGTCAGACAGCCAGGCCAGTCTCTCTCTTCTCTTCTCTTCTCTTCTCTTAGTGGGTTTATATATATATATATA